ACAGTAAAAGAGACATTCCTTGCATTAGAATGCGCTACAAAGAAAATTGGACTCACCACAAATGCATCCAAAACAAAGTATATGGCTACAGGACACCTCGCATGACCACGATAATTGATTATATTTAGAGAATATATCTTTGAAAAGGTTGCCCATTTTAAATACCTTGGATGCATAGTGAACTCAAATAATGATATTGGTGCCAACTGATAGACAACATCCTGTCTAGGAAAACTAAACTTTTTCTCTAAAAATCACTCATCAGACCGGTCCTGTACTATGGCTCAGTAGCAAGCCCAATGAGCAAGAAGAACGAGTAAAATTTATAAATATTTGAAAGGAAATTTTTACAGTACATGTTAGGAGAAATTGTCTGAGGGTATCCAGAGGAGAATAACGAACTAGTAAATCTATAGTTTAAACAAAAACCCTTGCAAGATGTCAATAACATAAAAACATTGCATTAAGGTATTAAGGGCCATGTGTCAACTCGGACCTAGAGGTCCCAAAAAAGATTTTATCAAGAAAGACACATGGCACAAGGAGGCCTGGAAGACTGAAACTAAGAAGGGAAGATAGAGTGATGCTACAACAATGCTGGGTGAGAGGATTTGATAGGCAGTGGCACTAAACCGAGATGACTGGCGGAGGTTGATTCTGGAAGCCATGACTTACTAATGGGTTGTGGCGCCTAGGAAGCAAGCAAGATAATCAAAGCAACAGACACAGTCATTTCGTAGTGGTCTGGGAGCACCTAGGTGCCATAAGTGTAACAATATACCTAAGACTACCTAACACTTTAAGAGTGCACTAAATTCAAAACAGAGAGAATAAAACAAAAAGTGTCAAAAACAATACAGAGAAATTCATCACTGCCCTTCAATATACAAAGTTGATAATTAAAAAATAGAAATATTTGTTAAAAAATAAATAAATAATAAATATCTAAAAATTAAAATCGTCATTTCATTATAGCACCTCAAATCATAACAAACTTCCAGTTTAGTCCAGTCAATGAATGATTAAAGAAGGAAATGGCGGGGACACAATTTTTGACTTTGGGATATGTTTGGACTAGTAAGGAGGTAAACATAATAAAAGTCCCCAAGGGACTCAAATTAGACTGGAGTCTCTCCAGAAATGACATGGATGAAGCCCCTATATAACATGACAAGTTAATGTTTACTGAACATATTAATTACAACATCAATGATGAACATATAACGGAGGACTCATCAAGTTTTGAAAATGACCCTTAGTATGGTCGAAACGTCAAATTAATGCGTATCAATAAAATGTTGGTGAAAATTGGCCTAATTTATTGAAAAAAATAAAAAAAAGATTATTTTTCTTCTCAAAAAAAGGGAAGCAGCTCCCTGTGACATTTTTTGTACAGTGAGATTCACATCACTTTCGAGAAGATTCCATTGCTGTAGTTGGGACCCAAAAATTTCTGCCTTTTCCTTTGACAGGTTATAATAATGGATTATTATTGACTTATTGGTGTAGTTGGAATTAATAAAAATAAAAAAAACACATGATGTATATTGTTGGAAATATATAATTTGATTTATTTGGAACTTACTCAACCTTTTTTTTTTTGTCTATACACAATCATTACTTGTAACGAGGATGATGAAAAGGCAGAAAAAAAAGAAACTCTAAAACAGACTAGTAATTCCGAAGTCCTTAAGAGCTGTGTTGAAAAAATTCCATGAAGGACACACTGGCATAGAGACTACTAAGTCTCTAGGAAAATTGACTGTTTGATTGCCTAAAATTAATTTTGAAATAGAAAATTTAATTAAAAATGGTGAGGTTTGTCAAAAAAATCGTCCAAGTGAACCAGAAAAATTTTTGAACCCTTGGTACATTCTGGAGGACCTTAAGAAAGACTTCATATGGATTTTACGGAACCATTTGAAGGATTATTGATGCTTATTTTCGTTGGCTAGAAAATTTTCCAGTGAAATCAGTTACAGTTAGAAAACTTATCCACAAATTAGAATCACTATTTGCAAGATATGGGATTTGCAAACAAATTGTTTGTGACAATGGAAGCCAATTTGCTTCAAAGGAATTCAAAAACTTTTTAAGAGACAATGGAGTGAAACAAATATTTACAACCCCCTATCATAGTTGATCAAATGGGATGGTGCAACGTGCAATTAAATGTTAAAACAACGATTCCAAAATGATACGACTAATAGATAAGCAGGAAAGATTCCGAGTGACGTTTGATTACCGAACTACAAAAGCTCAACAGGAAAAACGCTGGCAGAACTTTGCAAACGATTTTGGATAGTTTAAAACTATCTGTGAGAGATAAAATGGAAGAAAACAGGCTAAAACAAAAAATGTACCAGGAAAGAAAGGGACAATAATGCAGTTTCGAAGAAAGTGAGCAAGTTTGGGTAAAGCGTGAGTAAAATAAGAAGGAAGGGTAAAAGGCACCGTGATTTTAAAAAAAGGGCCTCTCTCTTATGACATAGAAATGAGAGGAAAGCTAATGCTATGTCATGCTAATCACTTAAGGAAGCGATCAGAAAGAAGGGGGGAAATAATGTAATATAGATTATTATTCAATTATTGATGTAGTTGGAATTAATTTAAAAACCACGTAATGTTGTACATTGTTGGAAATAGTTTAATTTATTTGTAACTTACTCAACATTTCTTTTTGTCTATACACAATCATTACACAGGCCAAGGTCTCTAATGAGCTCACTCAATTCCGCTTGACTTAGTCTGTGCGGTTTATCATCTTTTCCCACAAAATCAGGGTCACGGGATGTGAAAGGCTTGTTTGGTTCTTCTTCTTGTTCCACACTGTCTTCATTTTTTACTTCAAACACACAATGTTCGGGTGCAGCAGGAACTGGGGTAAACTATTTGAATGCAGAATGGGTCGAATAGCAGATCAAAGATTCGGGTACTGAACTGTTCTTGTTTTCTTCATAGACAATCCTGCTTTTATAGATGGAGTCAAGCAGAAATAGCAGTCATCTGTATGATTTGTAGGCTCCCGCCAAACCATAGATCGTTTCTTCTTTCTCATCCATTCTCGTAATATAACTGAACATGCATTGCAACATATATGTGGAGCCTAAGACTTATCCTGGTCCCCTACTTTCATACCAAATAATGCTGATAGGCAGTCTTTACAAGAGGAGTCAGATTGTATTTCTGTGAGGAAAATGTTATGTTACACAGCTTTCTGATATTTTTACAATAAAAATCTGGTGCGTCCAAAACACAACTTTCACTTACCGCTCTACTTTGAATAGAAATCATTTTCTGGCAATGCTGGGCTATTATAAAATTTTTGAAGTGCATTTTAATTCACTTCTTCTTTCACACAAGTACAATGAAATAGTATTTTAAACATTGGTATTGGCTTTATTCGGTAGTTTTTAAATACTTTTTTTTCAACCTTAGAAAAACATTTAAAAGTTTACATATAGTGTAAAAAATTTCATTTTATTTCCTTGGAAACATGAGATTTATGTTAAATAATGTTGGTTTTCTGAAATTATTACTTATGATGTTTTCGCCATTCCCCATGACCTTCTACAACTTTCTATATTATATATTGTTTTGTTTTTTTAAATTCTCAGCTTTCTAATGATATATTTATATGTATACCTTCAGACAAATAATTTCGGAGATTCATTTTCGACTTGGACAAGCATTTTTATTTATTTTTTTCCCTTATTAAATTATCAAATGCTTTCAAAAGATATATTTAATAATGAGAGATAGTTAATTGTTTAAAATAAACGATATTAAAGGTACTTTAGAGGATTACACATATGAACATTTGGTATTGGCAAGCCTTGTAAAGTGACATCAACGGGGATAAGACCCAAATGATATTAAAGACCACTAAATTATACACCGAGTTTAATCAAAATCGTTGGAGCCGTTTTTGAGAAAATTTTAAAAATGTGTTTCACCGTTGATATAAAGTGGCACTTCTGGTTAGCCTATTTTAAGGAAAAAGTTGCTGTCACATCTAAGGCTTACACCTACCTTAAATACATAATATCAGTTTCGTATGACTTTTCGTTTTTGAGCTAGACTGGTAACACACACGCATGGACCATTTTTCGTTATTTGGACTCAGGGTACTCTAAAACGTGTATTTCCGTTGAAAACTCAGATTCAAAAATTTTCACAATCGCAATACTTACCCTTACTATATACTACATATATACGTAAGTGAAAGTAAAAAAGCACTCTCAAACCAGAAATTCTGCATTAATTACAGCAGAAACTACATGAAACTAACAGTCACAACAAAATTAACTATGTTTATGACTTACAAACAGCTGAAGAGCATTTGTGTTTTGTTATTTGACAGGTGTACAAATTCCCGTCCCCCCCAAAAAAAAATTCCTCTTAATTCAAAACAATGACTCTAAAAATGAAATGTCACTTTATCTCCAAAGCAAGAGCTAATAACCATTTTTATAGTGATCTTTAAATTCAGCAGATAGAAATACATACAAATTGACTATTTCTGAGCCCAAATTTTCATTTCATTGTTGCCCAGTGGAATCAATCATAATGCAAAGTTTGTCAGTTTAATTTTGTTTAGAACATTTCCGTCAATGCGATGGATAGTTTTCCTGATACGAAAGCGAAAAAGTGACCTTCTAGGCGACCCCCCCACCTACATTTGGCTCACCGCCTAGGAGTGGGAACTTTAAGTACGTTTGCCTCCTTGCTAGTCCAAACAATATTCCTAAGTCAAAAATTGTGTCCCCGCCATTTCCTTCTATACCCCCTTTTCGAGCATTCATTGACTGGACTAATTACTTTCTTTCTACATAATTACAAAACATTATCAACAAACTAGGAAGTACAAAATATTGTACAGCATATTAAAAGAAACAAGAATATTTTAGGTCTAAAAATCTATATATAAGTCTAGTTAAAATAATGAATAGTAACATAATTAAGATCTTTCTCTAAAATATAATGTGTCACTAACTCACCTGATTTCTCATGACTGTTGATAACTGCAATATGTGAAGAATGCAAGAGTAGTCTTGTTTTTCCATGGTGAACATTGTGTACATTATTATTACCACCACCACTGCTGTTCACCATGCTCCCTACACCATAGGAATTACCGAAACAGGAGATCAAATAAAAGGGGGGAAAGCAACAGAAAATGAGGGAAAATAAACAATCCTAAGATATAAAGTAACATGCAATTAAAAGGCATAAAATACAAAATATCTATTAAATGGGAAGGAAAAAAAAAAAAAAAAAAAAAAAAAAAAAAATATATATATATATATATATATATATATACTGAAAACTAAGATATTGCAATATTGCAAAGAATCAAAGTTGAAGCTCTCATTGAAATCGTTCAGATATATAATTCACTAATCCCGAAAAATTTAATTTTAAGCCTTTAGCGCTTGTTTAGTTATGCTTGTCAAAGATCAATGTTTCTTCTTTACACCACATTTTTAATATATTTTAGAAAACTACTTGAAAAACAGAGACATATGTGTATCTTAGTTTGTTTTTTTTTTGTTTCATCTTGTATTTTGTCATAAAACGTCAGTCAAAATCATACCAATTTTCAATACCACAACTGGAATTGATAAAAAATGTCTATAAACCTAAAAAAATCATTTTTTTAAATATTTTTTTTCAGATTTAATTAAAAGTAGTTCCCAAATGATCGGAGCACTCTAGAAACTACTTTCAGCAACAATCTTCAGATATAATATTCAGATTTTAAGGAGTATTATTCAAATAACAGCAGCTGAAGATCAAATCAGAAATATTTTACTGAATCATCACATATCTAGGGGGCAAATGGATAGGGCAACAGAAGGTCTAGAGAAGGAGATGGATATGAGAGTCTCCTCCACTCTTGGCAGAATGATCAGGCTATAGTGATTCCAGATATCTCTACCAATACAAATTACCTTACCAAGGCCTGTTATCACCTCCATGTTGGTGGCCCCCAGAGGTCGGATGGGGTTTGTTGATGACAGAGACTGGGTTCATCGCTTCTATCCTTGTGAGTCACAAAGATGGTATTAGACATCCAAGCTAGGAGGAGGGTGCACAAACTGAGGCTGAATGACAAACAGTGTATTAAAATATACACCAACCCACAGTAGAAGACAATTATAAAATATGATCTTGATTTAACAGGGAAAATAGACCAAACCTTCCCTTCTGTAACAGTTAGATCTGAGATCAATAACATCAGCCACACAATCGGTCAGCAACATTATTGAGAACAGGCATGTTTAGGATGAAGAAACATGCTCCGATCATAAATACATAAGATTTTATATAATTGATAGCCAAAATGATGTGGAATTTAGAGATCCTAAATCTACAAACTGGGACTCGTGTACAAACTTGGAGGTAGCCATAAGTTGTTGCCCCAGAGTGGTCCACAATACATGGCAACTAGAATGCTTTAATACATCATTAACTGAAACTGTGAGAAATTCATATTTGAATGATTTAGATCGAATATATAGTAGACAGATGAACAAAATATTTCAAGATGCTGCTAAAAGGGGGTCAAATGCTTCAGCAGCTTTCATGATATAAAGGGGACAATGCAGGTTTATTACGGTGAAGACCATTTTATCAGCAACAAAGATTTGTTCGAAGCAATTGGCAAATCAGTTGGTTTGGACAAACTAAATCGAACAGCTTTGCACTGTTTTGTGCGTACATAGGCAATAAATGTATTAGAAAATGATATGAAAGGACTGTAGTTTTGTTCCTTTACAAGATAGAAGATACTAGAAAATGTAATATCTATCGAGATTCATTCCTGTTTAGTGTACCTAAGAAATTCTACTTAAGATTCGTAGAAGCTAGAATAAGATATATTGTCGATTATCAGAGCAACATGGATTAAGAAGCTTAAGTTACACATGGGGCAGAAGTGGCAAATTAGGACTGTCTTTACTTTAAGGCAGGTTATGGAGAAGTCCATTAAGAAAGAAAAATAGCTCTCTATCAGCTTAGTGCCTCACAAGAACTTTGAATAATGATATTTTTTTACTTCTACAGTTAATCATGTTAGGATGGCTTAGACACAAAAACATATTTCTTTATTATTGTCTACTATTAAGTACAATTCTTTTAAGAACTTTTCGGCTTCGGAGTTCTAATGTGAATATTATTCAACATAACACATGGTTGTCACCTTATAATTTTCATTACACATCCTAAAGACTAACACAATATCTACCACTTCGGTTGGAGTAAACATGTCAATCATCTCTTATAGACCTACTAGAATTCAACTATTGTAAGTACATATGAGAAGGAGTTAGTTGAGGGTGCGGTCAAATAATTAAAAAAAATTAAAATAAATAAATAATTTTAATGTTAAATATATAAAATATATAAATTATTTTAATATAAATAATTTTAATTTTTTTTAATTATTTGACCGCACCCTCAACTAACTCCTTCTCATATCATATCAACGGTCAACCATCTCTACATCAATATTGTAAGTACAACTACTTTTCTTATCACATAATATTGGATAATTCAAATTCTTATTAATAATCCTCTCTGATCAAAATAAAACCATGTCTTTATTTTTCCACATTTAGAAGTAAACACATAAGTTTAAACAATGTAGTTAAATAAAAAAAAACCAAAAAAAAAAAAAAATTGGTTTTGACGAATGGAAACAGAAGTACAATGGAAACATAAAACAACAAATAACAGATACAATCTGATTATTTACATTACAATTCTTTATTTATTGCTGAAATAAATAAAGATGGTTGATGATATTATTAATAACCTCTGTCAATTCCTAATAGTAAGCAAAACTAAAATACAAATGGTTCCTTTATTTTTTATTACTTTTCAAAAATGTATTAAAAATGAGTAATAAAGGAGAAACATTAACCTTTGAGCGAGTGCCTAAGCCTTAAAATTATATTTTTTGAGATTAATATATTATGTATCCAAAAGATCTTTTGAGAGCAACTTTGTTTCTTAAAAATTTTGTGATATCTTTAATGATTTCCAAAATATTTCAATTATAACCCATATATATATTTATATGTGACTAATAGAAAAAAAATAAATGAACTGTGACAATTGACAAGCAAACATTTATAAAACCCACTAGGAAATCGCTTAAATTAACTATTTATACAAATATTTTTTTTATAAAAGATTTGTTAGCAATAAATTAAAACATACTGTTAATTCAAGAAACCAAAAAAGTTAAAATTCTACAGAAAAAAGTATATTTTGTGGATGTTATAACAAAAAAAGACAAGAAACCGCTGATACATGCAATACACAGACTTTATCAACCCATTAACATCAAACTAATGTTAATTTTCATTTATATAATTTCTGTTTCCATTAATTTCAATAAGTATGCTTTAAAATAACAAATAAATTCTGCTCAACCTTGCTATTTAGTTAAAAACCCAGGTTTCACACGTGGTGATGTTTCATTAACTAGCTACAGATATTTGCTGCAACTGCAAGGAGCATTCTCATAAAAACCTTCTGTCAATTTCCACAGCTACTATTCATTTATAAAATCAAAGAATAGCCTGATATTTATGCACTGATCCCAATTAAGGGAGTGACAAAGCAGCATACATATTTTTGAACACATAGAAAAGCAACTTTTGATTGCTATTAGAATTGTCTGGCGAATAAAGTGTATTTCATTCTACTCTAATGTACGTGTCATAAAGGAATTAGTTTCAAACATTTAATTTTATGCTCTTAAAACAGAAATTGAAATTTAACTCTTAAAGTACAAAATATGCAATATCATGCAACAATAAATAAAAATTACAATTTAGTCTGAAAAGGGCAAAACATGCAATATTAAATTTCAATGTGTTATTTTCTAGATTGTGAAACAGATAGATAATTGAATTTGAAATAAATCTGGTATCTACTGATATATCATATTACACACATGTTAAGTTTGGAAATTTATCCTGATATCAAAGCTAAACTTGAGCGCATGTGCTCCAGCTTTTTCAGAGACCCTCGGCACCAAATTAAGATCCCATATTTCTGCTTTAGTTAATTATAAAATTCTTTCATAGTTTATATTTAATCATTTTTTATTATTAGCTGTAATATGAAATCATTAATCATTTCAAATAAACAAAATCAGAGGTACTTTAGGAGAAGAAATTTCGGAAATTAGACATTTCCACAAAATATTTCAATGAGGATAATACCTTCATCATTTTAAAGAACATTTGATTTTATATTGATATAATAAATTTAATCAAAATCGTGGGAGCCGTTTTTTAAGCAATTGTAAAAATGTGTAAAATCGATTATATCCAGTGCCACTTCCAGTTAGTAAATTTTGCTAAAACATTAGCTGTAATATTCGAGGCATACAAGTACTTTGAATACATAATTTCTGTTTAGGACTTTTCGTTTTGGAGGTAGGCTGTTCACACAGACCACTTATTTATTTTATTTTCCTCCCTATCCTGCCTTAAGACAATATGGGAGTTTGCAGCAGTGACTTGATACACATTTTTTGCATAACAAATCACTGTTGCACGTTTATCTTACACAGACCACTTAGTGAAATTTGGTTATTTGGACTCAGGAGACCTCAAAACGAGTATATCTGATGAAAACTAAAATTTTCATGATCAATACTTCCCCTTATTCTTTAATTAGTAAAATATATGCAATATTAATAGAAACAAAGTAGTTTTGAAATATCTGTGAATATAAGAATATTTGAAAAATTAGTACTGTATTTTCTTTATTTTAATATTCTTTTTTTGTTCGCTTTATAGACTTTGTAGATCTTTGACCCGCCTTAACTTGCCTTCTCCACCTTTACCTATCTTGGGCTACAGTTTTTCAATCTTCTGCATGCAGCTCTGCAGCATCTTTGTTGATTTAATTTAACTACCTGATTTTTGGCCTCTTGCAAACTATTGAGGATTTTATTGCTATTTAGGTTCTTTCTGGTGGATTTATTCGAACTACATGTCCTGTCAATTTAACCTCCTTGGCTTCACACATTATGAGATATTGATTGATCTTTCAATATCTCATAACTGAATTTTAGTACCTTGTATAGGATTAAATT